TGAGAATCGATTGGAATTTATATGTAGTAGTTGAGTATTCTAATATTGAATATATAAGTCTAAGATCCGAAGTAATAAGGTCGACCTTCACCCATCTGTTTAATGGATGAAAATTATATTATAAGTAATTCGGTATTTTGAAAATTGCAAAATATGTGTTTGCCTGAAAAAATCCTTCCCCCAATTATAGCCTAATTAATTGAACATTCAAAAATCACCCTTTTTGAATTTCTACCGATGTGTTTAATGAACAATTTTGACACCATGTTGGCGTCTAGCAATTAGATACGGTACTTCTCAGTGGAATGTGCTTACGTCACTAGATGGCTATCACATACAAGCATACCCAATGTGCATCTTAAATTTCGTGATAGTGCTCATGTTTATTGAATCGTCATCATAAGCTAATATCAGAAGTGGATAAATTAACACAGTGCCTTGGTGGAGTGACGAAAGTAATTTTTTTTCGGCGATTTCACTGCAAAACAGATGTAGCCATGCGTATTTATTTATTTTGTGTAATGAACTAATGGCATTATGATTTTTTTTATTTAACTGTGAGTACAAGAAGCAATACCGATGAACCAACAGTACGAGAGGCCAGTCACAAAGAGTTTCGTGCTCGAAATTGAAATCCAGTTTTTTTCTCCACTGTTTGTATCGAAAGACGCCGATGATTGTGTAACGTTGGTATTCCGATTAAACATCGAGTACCTATTGATGAATATTTAATGTATATGACAAACAAGCCAGCGGCTATAGTACATAGACTAAAATCATTAAAATCAAATCTCGAACGTTTTCGGCAACATTGCCATCATCAGGAGATTTCTGAAAAGTGGAATTTAATTTTTATTAACATGTGCTTGAAAATTTTTTATTTGAGGTTAGGAAAGTAAAGAAATTTTGAAAACTCACTTGTCAGAAATCTGTACAAAAGATTACATAAGAGGTGATCATTTCGTCAATATTTGTTGTTATCCAGTTTAATATACTATAAATTACCGTGTAATTATAAAACCAAATGGCAGCCAAGCTGCCTCCACTGTAAAACGGGAATGACTGAATTTAAGAAATGACGTTTGAAAGATGACATTGATAGGCAAATTGAATGACTTACTGTTGACATATGTTGACAGACTACATGGAACATGAAAGTAAATTGAAAATTAGAAGAAACTGGATTTTGACACCAAGTTGACAGATACATTAATTTTTGAGTTTGAGTGTTAACCTAGAACAAATAAATAGGATATAATGCAATTGTTGTATAACAATATTAAATTACATTATGATGAAGATAATGTTAATGAAACAAATGAAAATGTCTCTCCTGATCAAAGACTATAAAAACAAATATTATTGTGAAGAAGAACTACTAAGTTCTTTTAGAGATTTGAAAATTGGTTGAAAACGAGTTTGGTTTAAATGGATTTGAGTATTCAAGCAACTATTGTTTGTTGAAATTTCCTTAGTTATTTCTAAGTCTTCAAGGAGATCGAGTTGTAAGTTATTACCATTGACTGTATGTAAGATTTTTGTTCCTGATTCTAAGTCAAACTTATGTTTAGTTGCAGAAATATGTTCACCAAAACTGGAAGTTTGTGGCCTGTTAAGGTGTTCTTTGGTTCGAACTGAAATTTTCCTAGCAGTTTTTCCAATATATGTACTACTGCAGTCTGAACAGGATAGTTTATAAATACCACTTTTATCAAGAAAATTTATTTTATCTTTTGTATTTGTGAGAATAGAACTTAAATTGTTTAATGTTTTGAAAGAAATTCTGATATTATTCAATATATCTGAGAAATAATTGGATACTTTTTCTGAAACACCATTAATGTAAGGAAGGGAGAAATATTTAGGTGTTGGAACCATTTGTTCCTGACTATTGTAAGCTAGATTTCTATTTCTTTTGTAAATTGTTTTGTTTCATTAACATTATCTTCATCATAATGTAATTTAATATTGTTATACAACAATTGCATTATATCCTATTTATTTGTTCTAGGTTAACACTCAAACTCAAAAATTAATGTATCTGTCAACTTGGTGTCAAAATCCAGTTTCTTCTAATTTTCAATTTACTTTCATGTTCCATGTAGTCTGTCAACATATGTCAACAGTAAGTCATTCAATTTGCCTATCAATGTCATCTTTCAAACGTCATTTCTTAAATTCAGTCATTCCCGTTTTACAGTGGAGGCAGCTTGGCTGCCATTTGGTTTTATAATTACACGGTAATTTATAGTATATTAAACTGGATAACAACAAATATTGACGAAATGATCACCTCTTATGTAATCTTTTGTACAGATTTCTGACAAGTGAGTTTTCAAAATTTCTTTACTTTCCTAACCTCAAATAAAAAATTTTCAAGCACATGTTAAGAAAAATTAAATTCCACTTTTCAGAAATCTCCTGATGATGGCAATGTTGCCGAAAACGTTCGAGATTTGATTTTAATGATTTTAGTCTATGTACTATAGCCGCTGGCTTGTTTGTCATATACATTAAATATTACAAGTACATACAACCTTTCTTTGTATTGATGAATATACTAGACGTTTATAGTTCCAGTTGTTGATGGTATTGGCGATTGCACGGTATTAATTTTTTCGAATTTCGTTTGTTTCCATCGGAATTTGTTGAAATAAGCGGGGTAGTACTTCAAAGTGGATTGAATTAATATTTTTGTATGTTCCAGAAAGTAACGTTTATGATTCATTCGTATTACCCGAGGGGTGTCTCACTTCAACAAGGTTTGTACACTAGATTGGATATTGCGAAGTTCGGAAAAGTTTTAATAAGATTTGTAGCTGTCACTAAGATTTGCAAGATCTCCGAAAGATTCGCATAATTTATCAGGGATTGGGAGATTTCTGGCGATTTGCAATATACATTTAGCAAGATCTTCATCATTTGCTAGAATTTTCAAAAATTGAAAGACATTTTCTGGTTGAATAGGTTGAGAATTTTTATTATTATAATTTCCAAGAATAAGATACACAGTTATGCGACACAAAAGTTTCAGGAGAGAGAAATGCTAATAACCTTCAGACATCAGTTTATTATAATAATCAATCAAATAGGACAAATCTGAAATTACTTTGTTACATTTTGTACATAATATGTTCATTTGCTATCAATTCAGATTTTTGACTGCTATTGACTATCAGTGTCAAGGTTGTTTACTGCGTCACCACTTGATACATCATGCTGAGGGGGGCTGAATTAATATACAGGGTGTTCGGTTCACCGACGTGTGTCTGGGCGTATGTGGTATGATATTGAACATATCTGGCCGTGTATACTGTGTATTGCCTATATTCGGTATTCATTGCATAAAGGAAATCTTGATTCACAATCGATGAGTTGAAATATAACTGTATATCAGGACATTGAACAGGGAAATTTCAGATGGAAATTCATTGGCAGTTACGTTAATTCGATCTTCAGTAATAAATGAAAATTAGAGGATAATTTTCAGAATTTATGGGAAATTGTTATGATTCAAGGAAAATTGTAAGATTTTGAATGGCATTTTGAATTCTATGGGAATTGGTGTACAAGATCCACATTGGTCGTATGCCCCTCGTCAATATCTATGACCCAGTCGAACTATGAAAAGATATGGTTTATCATACACCTAGTTAATCGAGTTGAATTATTTCGTTTCAATGGTAAAATATGCCATATTCCAACTGAACAAACTGTGAACTATACATGAACATGTTCGGTTTCCTGACCATTGTTTTCTTGGGAGGAAGCATATTTAGCACTGCTAAATAAAATCTTGCATTTATGAGAGTGTTGTTGTTGACACGATTGTCGATGAATAGATACTGGACAAGTACCTGTTTGTTATTGTTATACTAAATTCTGCTTGCGTGATTGTACGAATAATCTGAAGACATGTTTGATTGACAAACCTCTGAGCTACCATATAACTGTTGTTGTACTGGTTCAGTAGAAAGCTGTCGCTTCCAAAAATGCAGCATTTCATCGATGGCAGAAAAATCCAGGCCCTGAGACTAGAGCAGGATATGCAGAGGCTAGAGGCATATGCAATGAGACAATTCGATCATCAAAGGATGCTCATAATGCCATAATAAGATCAAAACTTGTTGTTATCCTAACGGATCCCGTTTATTTTGGTCCTTCGCCAAAGCTGTAGGTAGAAACTTCACTTCCAGCTCGTTTTTCTCCTCTAACCAAGGAAGATGGAACACTAGCCACACCTGGCCAGGAGAAAGCCAACATTTTTGCGCATTTATTTCCTGGAAATTCCACTCGGGATTCATCGGGTAAACAACCTCCAAACATAACGCCAATTGACAGTCATATGCACGAGATCGCCTTTCGCCAACGTACAGGAATATTTTATTGGGTCTCAACACCAACAAAGCTTGTGGCTCCGACGGAATCCCAACGATTGTTCTCAAGAAATTTGGTTCCGAACTAACACCTGTTCCCTACAAGTTGTTCAACTACTCTTACAGTACAGCACCCAAACATACCCTGAAACTGTTGGATTCTGTCCAAAAAATGGCAATTCGTCTCGTGGGTGATGCCTCGCTCACAAACTCACTCACTTCTCTGGAACACGGTAGAAAAGTTGGCGATCTGGCTCTATTTTATAGGTATTTTCATGGACGATGCTCTTCTGAAATATCAACAATTGTTCCTCCCTTGGCAGTCCCCGCGAGATTAACCCGTCGAGTTGAGGCTTCGCACCCCTTCGTGGTCATTTTGGAGACCTGCAGAACATCTCTTTTCAAAGATCCGTTTATCCAACGAACAGCGAGAATCTGGAACACATTGCCAAGGGAGGTGTTCCCCGAGGCATATAACCTCCAGAAATTTAAGTAAAACACCAATTCCTACCTTATTTCTCTTGGTTCTCACGATGTTCTCTGAACATTACAGGATATCTCTTTTCGTGGGAACCAGAACATAAAAAAAAATCTGAAAGAGGGGAATAGTCAATATAATATTACCTGTATGTCATAGTCCAGTTGTAAAAATTGTCCAATCTTTCAAACACGGGCGTGTTTGTTGGAGCCTCCTGATTGGAATAGACGTAGATTTGATGAGCAGACCTGTTCTCGGGTTTTCCATGGACATCGGAGTTATACTCTACCCCGTGGAAAAGCAGTGCATCGAAGTCTGCGACTGGCAAAAGGGTTTTGTTGTTCGTAGCGAAGCAGTTGCTCACGGAACATTTTTCGAAAATCTCACTGCCCAATCCCAAATTGAAATCGGCTTGATGGAACATCTCCGTCCAGTACAGAATGTATTTCATTTTCGGCTGTCGGCTGGTCCATATTTCGAAATCGATGTTTAGGATATGCTGAATTGCTAACAGGATTGTGGTCAGTAAGCAAACGGCTGTGAAATATTTCCTTTTTCTCATATCAGCAATGTCACCTGAATGACCTGCGTGACGGAATTTGAAAAATCATACGGTTAAACAATTATTTAGAACATCTAGCTCGACAAATTGCGTGTCGATTCCGAAACAGATAATCTTGGAATAAATATAACGAAATCTAAAAATTTCCATTAGCTTGTTCAGAATGGAGAGTGGCTCGCTCCTATTTAATTCATTTGAGAAGATATGGAGATGACTCATGGAGGATATGAACCAAACAATGAAAATGCTTTTTCGCCGATATCTACAAAAAATCACATTTCCGAACGAAAAACCGACTATTTCCGATGGCAAGTAGGTACTTTTCGTCCGAAGACCATAACTTTTCGTCAATGACATTGTTATCAAAACTACTAGCCGTAGGGGAGTAGTTTTGGATCAATGTCATGAGCGAAATTAGAGCAGCAAGCTGGAGTATGTCAATCGACGAATATTTCCAGGAAAAATAGTATCACGAGTTGTATTCGTATGACTATTTCATGATTGAATGAGACAATATACAGGGTGTTACCTAACTAAGGTTCCTAACTGCAGGTGGTGATTCGTTAGGTCATTATGGGAAGAGAAGTTCCTATTAACATATGTCCGGAGTTGCTTCGTTTCTGAGATACAGGGCGATGAAATTGAAAAAAAAAACGGTAATTACGAAATATCATGAATATCATGGAATCGATTTGGTTGAAATTTGGTACTTCTATTTGTCTCAACAAGGCGCTTATTTAGCCCTATTCAGATTGAAATTATTGAGGTAAGTGGCGTCTCAGTGGGCACCACAGCCAACAATATTGTAAAAAAATGTACGCTACCGACTGTTTTTGGTAAATTTCAATTTTTTTTCAGATTGAACAACACAAAATACAACTTTTTGGTCTCTTGTAGTTTCTTCATATCCAGCTTCGTTTCCGAGAAAAAAAAATTAAAGCCACTGTATTGCATATCATGAACACCTGCATTGGAGAAATGAATTTTTCATTTTTTCCGTCAAAAATATAATTGACACTGGATATGCTAAAACTTTAGAAAATTTGACGAATGAAAGTACCAAATTTCAACCAAATCAGTTCCAGAATATTCATGATATTTTATAATTACCGTTTTTTTTCTTTTATTTCAACGCCCTGTATCTCAGAAACGAAGCAACTCCGGACATATGTTCATAGGAACTTTTTTTCTCAAAATGACCTAACGAATCACCCCCTGCAGTTAGGAACCGTAGTTAGGAAACACCCTGTGTATAAGAAATAGGAAACATAATTTTAGTATATTCCAACTCAAATTGCGAAGAAGAACATAATGATAGTAATGAAATACAGAATTAACTTTTTTAGAAATTAACTACCTACTTATAGTTATTCACAAAGTGGAATGTACAATTCTGATAAACAGTATTTTTTCAATTATCTTGGAGATGGTTGCTCTCAAAAAAGTGTATACAATTGCTATCCAATTCAAACAAAATAAATTGAATTTATGTGACATGAAATAATTAATAAAAAAGATGTCGTCGCCGAGGGGCTCGAACCATCGACCTTCGTATCTTCGCGCATCAACCCTATCAGTTGCGCCACATCATCTGGTAATTATATACGTCACAATAGCTTGAGTAATTGAAGAAGATTACTTTTGAAAGGAATTTGAATTCTAGTATTGTTGTGTCAGATCGTCAACAAATATGCAAACTTTTTAAATTACACATGAAACGTCCAGCCAGAATAAAATTGTCTCGCCTTTCGTACAAAATATCTCACTAACGCGAATTATAAGTAAATAAAATAAAGTAGGTTATTGTCTCAGATTGGAATCCGAAGCAATCCTGACCAGACACGATGTCAAAATTTTATCGCTTATTATTATTATTATAATTTAATAAACAAAAAATATCGCTAGAATACAGAAGAAACCGTGAAAATGGTCGATTCTGATTGGTTCTCGAGATTAAGAGTGGAATAGTCAATAAAAAATCACACAAAATTGGTTTTATGACATTTGGAGAAAAACTTATATGTAGATTGACTTCCTTGTCTGAATTCCTATGATACTAGTTTGCTGCCTAGTAAAACAAATAACTATATTCTCCCAATACCAATATATGGGTTATCTATGGTCATTTTCGCGAATTCTTTCAAATTGTTATTTTCGTTTTTTCTGCTTGTGCAGCAAACTCGCAAAACCGACACAAAAAATAAGTACAACCCTATTAAAAACAATAAAAGTAGAAATTTATAAGCAATAGAATGTTGTGTTAATCTGTAAAGCAAGAGTAGTAGCCATACGCCCATCTATTTCATAGTGTGCATGTATTAGATTGAGGTGCTAATGTACCCAACTATATTTAACGCTCTACAAATGAAATTATCACCGAAGAGAACAAAGTGAACAATGGTTATTATGCACGCTCAGCAGTTTTCGACTGATGTTATGTTGTATGTAGCTCACAGGGTGATTCCAACTGACAGTTTGATTGAAATCGTGAAATTTTGTAAACAGTCATGTTTGTCTCAATATATTTTCATTCCTCATGCTATACTGGGGAGTGCCAAAAGTATATACCAACTTTCTCATTCGGAATAGAAACCTAGGACATTTCTTACGTGTCAATTAGATTTTATCTCTGCAATTTTTTATATACACTTACTAGCAACATAAATGCAACACCAAAAATGTACTAGTTCTTTGTAATTCGAGATTTTTTCAGAGAATCAACCTATGTATGTACTTTAGCCAGTGACAAAAAAACTACGGTTGTAAGCTGACTAAAGCTTTCCTTGATATTTCCTTCCTTGTGTTTTGTTTGTATAGGGAAATAATCGATTGAATAACTCTAACAGATGAATTTAGGTTAGGGAATGCACCTTAATGCGCCTGCTCCAATATGGCGCACCTATGGTGGTCTTTCAAATGGAAAATAAATACCTAAAAGACTATCAGAGATTATTCTACAAATAGGTTGTTTGAAAATCAGATTTTTGGAGACTCACATCATATGTATGAAAAAATGATTCCTATCAGAGCTGGAAAAATACTTGAGTGGACTGAAAATATTCAAGGGTCAAATATTTTCGCTAAATTGTTTTTTTCCGAGTTGGTAATGCATGGTAACGTTGAAGTGTCAGACACAATAATTCTTTTACGATCTGTCAAATTAGAGTGAACATTCAAATGTTTTTCATTGTTACCAACTTTGAATCCAAAATAAAAAAAATAGTATAATATTCATATACGTATTAATAATCAATACGGATAATCTCTATCTGTTTCCATAGCGAAACATGAAGCTGATTTTTGAAGACAAATGACTATCCATAAGGAAAAGTTTTGAAACGATCAGACACATACTGCTTTGATTGAAAGGCTAGTAAACGTCATTGTCCACCGAAACGCATGTCTTTGATGACTACTATAATAGCGCATGGCGCATGCGTATCATGCCACCAAATCCTTATGGATATTCATTTGTTTCATATTTTTGGCTTCATCCTGGCACTCGTTATGATCCGTATTGTTTATTAATACGTATATGATAATATTACACACATTTTATAAGACATATTGTCGCACTTGTCGCGTGCGACAAAACAGTGTCTTATAAAACTTATTACTATTTTGGACGCTGCGTACAAGTTTCATGCACTGAAATAGCCCTCTTTCTTTCAAAAATCATTCGATCAAAATATTTAAACAAAAAGGTATTGTTATTAGGATACAAAAAGTCAATATAATAATATTGATATTATCGATTCACATTAATTTGCACATTCAATGTTTTTAGGTACTTTCCTACTTACCCTTTGTCACTTATTTTCATCAGATCTTTTTGTTAGAATAGCGTAATAATTATCATCATTCAATAGTATGTAGGTATATTTTAATCCATATTCCCTCCTCCATATAACGTATACTGCTATCATAATGTTATTAAGGTTATTAACATACGGAGTAATTCTATACTGTGCAATAGTTCAATCAACGAAAGCCAAAAAAGGTCCATTAGGAGAAATGAATCATGTATATAGTCAAATGTTTGTACAGTGGTGAAGGAAGTACCATGAACAACACACTAAAAGTCCTGATCCATAAACTATGAGCTTGGGGGGGGAAGGAAGCATAATTAGAAAATTGAAAGAAAAAAGTATAAATATACAAAATTGAAAAACATATAATTTCCTATAAAAAAAACTATTCAATTTTCATTCACAATGAATAGTGTCTGAGATACAGGAGGTCAAAAAATTGTGGGTAAGATCCCAGTAACAATCAGTGTTGCCGGTGTTGAAGAAACAAATAGCGCAATGCTGCCGACATAAAAACTCATGATTCAGATTCATGAACCTTGTTTAGTGCCTTGGCAATTTTGGCAGAAGAACAGAGAACACTATATTAAAGATGGTTATGAATTTGCATGTTCAAAATGATATACAAGTGCGTAGACGCGCATTACAAGAAAAAAAAGTTATTTTTGCGCCTTATTGGCAACACTGGTAACAATCTGAGACATTGACTATATTCCGAATTCAACTATTCAGTACTGTCAGTAAATCCACTGACTTCGCTCTGGGTCCGAAATATACAATAAAAAATACAGTGCTGTAATTCGTGCCATCGTGTTCGGAACATGTTTTCATGGTTTTCATCAGTAATCAGCAGCAGTTGATCAGCTGGTGAACTTTGTCAGTTGTATTGTCACTTAAATGTATAGTTTCGTTCATCTGAAGTAGATATTATTCTCACCGTCAATTATCTCAATAACAGGCATTTTCTGATAATAAAAATGATTTTATTAATGTATCGTATTATTGTTAAAACAACCGGAAATAAATGGACATTCCTTCCCCCTCTAAAATGATGACAGTATACTGAAGCCACACCACCTTTTGCAAGTCAGCAAATTTCAGCAGTTGAGTCGAAATATTTGGAATGAATAGTATATGTCTGCTCACAAGTATCTGTCACTTTCAGTGAATTTTTTGATTTCGGAATGGAAAATCAGCAGATTCATTACTCTGCT